AAATAAAATAAAATAAATTTAAAAAGAATGATGTTGATCAAACTACAATTAATACCCACTGTTAAAAATAAAAATGTTAAAAATAAAAATAAAATTGTTAAAAATTAATAATATCTATCGTTAAAAATAAAAATTGTTAAAAATAAATTTGACCATACTCGTCAAAGGAATAGAAAGGGAACTAGGTAACAACTCCCTTTCAGGGTGAAAACTTTTATAGGGCTGTGTGTACTGCCTGATAAGGTTCTAGAAAAGTTGGGCACAATGGCCTGTAATAACCTACAATCCCAGCTACTAGGGGAGGTGAGGCAAGAGGATCATAAGTTCAAGGCCAGCCTGGACATCCTAGCAAGATTTTGTCTCAGAATAAAATTTTAAAAAGGGCTGAGTATGTAGCTCACTGGTAGAGGGCTTGCCCAGCATGTGCAAGGTTCTAGGTTCAAATCCCTGGAACCACAAAAAACAAAAAAAATGGTTCTAGATTAACAGGACTAAGAGATTTTTAATCTACTAAGCATACAACTAATACCAATGTGCACTATTATCATTTTGGTATTTTATTTGAGAAGAATGACATAAATATTAGAGCCAGGAAGAAAACAAAACAAAACTATTAGTGATGTCCATTCACCCATTCAAGAAGCAAGACTGGCTGCTGAACAAGATATGCTGACCTACCTTAAGAAATTCCTTCAAGAGAATTTCAGACCTTTCTTCAAACTCTTCTTGAATTTGAGCTTGATATTCCATGTCCAGGTAAGAAGGGTTGATCCACTCATACAAAATTTCATGCTTACAAAGAAGCAGCAGATACAAAAGATGAGTTAAAAATAATTCCTATAGCTTTTGTTCTTACATCACTTCACACTATTAAAATACAAGTAAATCCTCACTGTATATGTTTTTCCTATTATGCATAAAGTATTAGAAAACTTTGCCTGAAAAATATCACAAGTTTAAGAAAAATGGAAGGGGCAAGCTCAAAGTCTAGTTTCTTTACCAGGAAGACCTAATTTTAAAATCAGAAAATGAAATGCTGTAACTTCTAAAATAAGAATCACAATAATTTATCCTTACATCTTGCGGGATGTGAGGGTTCCGAGGTATGAGGGGTTCAAAGTAGGTGGGAGGCCTGGTCAGTGAAGGACCATGAAACCAGCCACTGATAGATATACGCGACTTTTCTTCAGAAAGGACTTCAGACACCTGAAAGAACGAGAGCAGCAGCACATCACACAAGGGGAGAGGAGGGAGGATACCAGCCAAGGCACATTTATCTGAAGATCCTTCAAGCTAGGTATGAAAACAACCTGATCAGTTAAGTCCAACAGGAAGCTGTCACATTTGGATAATGGGTGACTAAAAAGTGCGGTCCTTAGTACTTGTATACCGGTATATTTGTGGCTTACAATCTTTACCTGGTGAAAGGATACTGGAGACACTTCAAAGAAAACCAGTTTGTTCCACGAAGGGACAAGAGACTTGACAATCTGCTTCGGCTGAAAGTGTTCTGCACCAGGAGAGAACACATCCATAAACGTGGTTCAGTATCATTAACCACTTCCAGGCCATCTCATTTCACTCCTGACATCTCTCACATTTCTGAGATTATGTGGAAGTACCCTTCAGAGTCTAAAAGACCACCCCCTTCTACCTGTTTCATTCATGCTTGCTCGTTCTGCTAGGTCATGTGTTACTACATCATCCATTTATAGTTGATGAGGGGGCTGGAGATTTAGCTCAGTGGTTCCACTGCCTGCCTCGCAAGCACAAGGACCTGAGTTCAATCCCCAGTACCAAAAAAAAAAAAGGAATAATATAATTGATGAAGAATAATATAACTGAAAGTTTCCTGGTGTCAACCTGTGGTGTCATTTATTCAAAAAAAGCCCCCATCTCCTGTCAAACAGACTGGTCTTGGCAGATTCACAGCCACAGGCATCTCCATACGCTTTCTACCCTCCCATAGTCAGTAAACGCAGGGTTACTTCTCATCTTAAATCGATTCTAATTTATCTCTGGAGTAATGATTATTTTCACTAAACTTCAAGAGGTGGTTGTCAGGGCTGGCATTAATTCCTCCTGAGGTAGCCACTGCAACAAGTGGCCTTCATGTCCATTGAAGTGATGCTGAGTTAACTTGGTTTTAATTTAGGAATGATCACTGGGGGTGATGAGCATGCACCCATCTTACCATCAATGCTATATAGGTCCAGAGTGCCCCCCAAGCTCCTGTCCCAGGGAGGAACCAGGTACAGAATGAAGGCAATCCGGCGCCCTTCCAGCTCATCGTCATGGCAGAGCAGGGCATCTGCAAAAGTTTTTAATGCACATCTTAGATACCTGCATAGACAATAAGCAGCTGCCATCTGACTCTCCCTTTGATGTCAGTCCATCTGATATTCATCTATAATGCCAGTTCTATCCTTAAATGTCCCCCAGCTTTAAAAGTGACATGCTTCTTTGCCAGGCATGGTGGCATATGCCTGTAATCCCAGCGCTCTGGGTGGCTGAGGCAGGAGGATCTCAACTTCAAGCCCAGCCTGGCAAATTTAGTAACTGAGGGAGACCCTGTCTCAAAATAAAATTAAAAAACAGAATTGGGGGTGTAGCTCAGCGTGAAGGCCCTGGGTTCAATCTCAAGTACTGGAAAAAAAAAAAAGACATGTATTTCTTCTCTTTACTGAAATGAAACCTAGTCAATAAAAAAAATTCTAGGGCTGGGGATTTAGTTCAGTGGCGTGCCTGCCTGGCAAGTGTAAGGTCCTGAGTTTGATCCCCGGTGCCAATAAATAAATTCTAAACAGTAATGAGTATACCATATATACAGATAAATCTGATTATAGTCACTATATTTATATATATGTTATCGACATAAGTGTATTCACTTTTTTGTTTTTGAGACAAGTTCTTACAACATAGTCAGGCTGGCTTTGAACCACTGTATAGCCCAAGCTGGCCTGGAAATCTTGGAGGTCCTCCTGCCTCCAACTCCCAAGTGCTGGGATTACAGGCATGCACCACCAAGTTGGCAGTATATTCACTTTTTTAAAAAAGGTATCCTACTGTGATTATTTGTGGCCTGCCTTTATTACATGGTAAATGTCTTTCCATATCAATATATACATTTAGGGGCTAGGGATTTAGCTCAGTGGTTTCGCTGCCTGCTGCGCAAGCGCAAGGACCCAAGTTCAATCCTCAGTACCCAAAAAAAAAAAAAAAAAAAAAATATATATATATATATATATGCACACATTTAACAACATTTTTAATGGCAGAAGTTATTCTACACATGAATTGTAAATTTACCTTCCTCCTTCTTTAATTAGTTTCCTATTTTTAATTAAGTTGTTTTGGCTATTACAAAGAATGCTTTAATGAATATTATTATGCATGGATCTTTTCATCCTTGTTCCTATTAACTGCTTAAGTTAAATTTCTAAAGCCATTTGGTGGGACTGAGCAAGGTAGGCATCCATGTGGGGTGGGAAAGGGAGAGAAGAGCACAGTGAACTAAAACCATTTAAAAACAGAGGGACTGTGCCAATAAAGAAACATATTGAAGACAATGGGATTCTGCTCTCACAGTTAAAGAAAGAAATGAACAAATATGGAAAATGAGAAATCTATAATGAACTCTGTGTTTTTTTTTGAGACAAGGACTCGCTTTGTAATGCAGTCTGGCCTAGAACTCACTATTAGCCCAGGCTGGCCTTGAACTCGTGGTGATCCTCCTGCCTCTGCGGCGCCACCATGCCCCGCTGTGCTGTTTGTATAATTGGAAATGGAGGAATCAATGTGAATTCAACTTCCTAGATCTAGATAAACATATAGAGGTATAGCAATACATACAAGTGTATGTGTATCCATCCAAGTGTACATGTGTATTCACACATGTATTATGGTGAAAGAATCTGGGAGCAGTGAGACCCCAATGGCAAAGACACCTAGAATCCAGATCTTGATGGTTAAACATCATTCTTCACCAAAAAGAACCAAAGTTCTTGGGAGGAATGGCTGACTAGGGTATTCTTGGACTTAGGAAGGAAAATATAAGTCTAGAAATTCTTGTTTTATAGAAAGTAAGACATAAAAGAATAATGGGGGCACAGCACAATGATACAAAAGTCAGTTTAAACATGCTCTTCTTGATCAAATCTAGGACAATAAAAACATCAGTAACAGAATTATTATATTTGGATGCAGTGGCACATGCCTATAATCCCAGCTACTCAGGGGGCTCAGGTAGGAGGACAGCAAATTTAAGGTTAGCCTGGGTAACTCAGTGAGACCCTTGTCTCAAAATAAAAATTTTAAAAGGGGTGAGTAAAGAAGCCGAGTGGTGGAACACTTGCTCAGCATGTGCAAGACCCTGGGTTCAATCCCTGGTACCAGGAAAAAACAAAAAGTAAAAAACCCAAACCCAACAACAACAAAAAGCCCGAAATAGACTATTACATGAAGAGTAATCCATAAATCCATACCAATATAAATAAGTGAATGAATAAATAATGAGGAGAGAAATGACAACCAATAAGTGTAGAAGAAATTTATTATAAAATCACTATTTGGCAACCTCCATTGCAATAGCTTAGCAAGAAATATCAGTAGATATTAAAATAAGTGAATCAAAGTTTGGTGAGAAATGGGATAATTATATAATCTTAAAGTATCTCCTTACAAAATACATAGTGATGGATGAAAAAAGAATAGTTAGCAAAACTGGTATCAGCCAATACTTTCAGTAATTGAAGTGAACATCATGAAACCAAATATTAAATGTGAATGAGCCTGTGGACTAAAGAGGAATAATGTATAGATGTTAATTTCCTGATTTTGATGATTTGTTACTTTCAAGTAGGGGAATATACTTATTACAGAAATTTCTGAAGTAATCCAGTATTCAGAAACATTATGACTGCAACCTATTTTTAGGTAAAATAGGAAACAGATTATTTGTATTGGGCTTGTTGCTTTTTTTTAAGTTTGATATTACTTCAAAGTAACAAAACAAAGATATATAACATGACTTTTCATATGTATCACTCAGTTATCTCCACAAAAGTTGTTACCAATTTCTGTTTCCCCAGGACAATAGATAAGAGGAAACCCAAATCAAAATTAAATTAATTGATTGAGTCAGGGTCTCACCATGTAGTTTAGGCTAGCTTTGAATTCACTATGTAGCCCAGGCAGGCTGGTTTTGTACTCACAGCAATTCTCCTGCCTCAGCCTCCAGAGTGCTGGGATTACAGGTGTGTGCCACCACATTCAGCCACAATTTTATTTAGTAAAATAAATAAATAAATAAATAAATAAAAAACAAAAAAAGTCCCCAAACTTGTATTTAAAATAAAGGTATAATCATGTGCTCTGAAAGGAACTAGAAGGATGCACCCCGAACTAGTGACAATGGATACCAATGAAGATAAAAGGGGGCAGAGAGGTGACAGGGATTAACACAGTTTACCCAGAATACTTTTACAGTGCTTAAACTTGTTCCCTTAAGTATATATTCACTTTTTATTTTCAAAATAAAAAAGAGAAGGAAAATGGCGCTGAGATAGCTGTTTCTTGGGAAGGCTATGAACACAATTTATTGTCTTTGAATTTCCTGTCTTTGTATTCAAGGTTGGTATGTATGTGGATTATGAACATTTTTCTCAAAATATGGTCAATAGCTTTCATCATATTCCCAAAGAGAATTACTGCCTTATCTCTTCCAATAAAGTGGCTAAGTATATGAGCTGGGTCTTACCCACGCAGAAACATTAAGGCTAGTATTTTGGTACATAGATGCTATCTTTCCATCATTATGGAGTGAAAGCCTTTAAATCTTACAATGCTGTCTTCCTTACCAGTGAATTCATACTTAGCACAGGACATGTCAATGGTTGGTTCCAGGTCAATGTCAGAAATGTCAGAAAGCCACGTCCGGAAATCTTCAAACAGAAGCTTCCTAGAAGTGTAAACAAAAGATGACTTGTTATGCCATAGTGTGGGCTCTATCTGGATGTATGCTACAACTATTTTCCTGGAGGTCACATTTTATTCAAGAGATCCATTCTCAGATTTCACTCAAAAGGTCCTGAGAAATGTTTCCCAGTTTTAACTTGCGTAGTTTAAGACCAGTAAATGTAAATCTCTAGCTACTGTAGCATATTTTTTGCTCTCAAGTCTCATATATTTCATTTTCTCAGTATTTTCTTCCTTCTAAATTTAAAGTATGTCCCACTGCAGCAGCATTTTGGCTTTGTCCTAACAACTTACCATACCATTGCTGCATTCCAAATTACTGATTTTTCGGACATGTTTTTGAGCAGGAAAATGGAAAACTCAACTGTTTTCTTTATACCAAATGTGTGTTTTTTCTCCCATAATGACTGATTGCTCTGAAGCAAACTGAGTATTCTATAACTCAGTTCAATTCTGACACTATCTGCAATAGGTCAGCACGCAAGGGCTCAGTCCATGAGGACTACCCCTCAACTTCAGACAGCAACCTCCAGTCCAGGTTATGACCTGTGTTTCTAATTGACTGACTATACATCAGAGGCTCCCACAAAACCATCAAGTTTGGCCATTTGCTGAACAGTTTACATTCTACATGGAATAGCCAAAAGGAAGAGATTCATGGGCAAACTATTGGGAAAAGCACCTCCAAGTTTTCAGCAAACTGAATCCCCCTTGGTTAGGGATTTTTACGGAGGCTTCATTATGCAAGCATGATTAAACAAACCACTCACTATTGTTGATTAACCCAATCAACTTTCAGCCTCTCTTTTCCTTCAAAGATTGGAGTAGTGGGGCTGAATGTTCCAATGTTCTATTCACATGATTAGCTTCCCTGGTAACCAGCCCCACATCCTAAATCTTTGGTGCTTTCCAAAATCACCTCATTTATATAAACTCAGGTGTAGTAGAATAGGGTTCCTTTTAATAAAAGATACTTCATTTACCTTTACTGATCTCATATTTCAAAGGTGTTAGGAGCTTGGTGCCAGGAATGGGGATTAAGATCAAACATATTTCCTGTTATAAATCATGCAATGTCAGAAGCACTCACTTAGCACCACCATTCAATGAACATTTGGATGATACTGTTGCAGAAGGTCACAAAGATTTTAAACTGGAGAAATAGTGAGTACTAAACTGCACAGTAATCAGTAATCAGTAAAATCCTTCATAGAAGTGCTAACAGGATACCAAGAAAAAAATTGTGAGCTTTTCCATTTATCAGCTAAACTGATAAAAAAATTTGTGTAGAAATCACTTTAACACAATTCATACTTCACTCAGCCAAAGAACTTCAAAATTAACTTTCACAAATTACAAACATTTCAAAGGACGGACATTAATTTAAATCATGTATGTAAAGGCATTTGATTAGTATTTTTTGGTTACCATTTCTTTTTTTTTTTTTTGGTACTGGGGATTGAACTCGGGTCCTTGCGCTTGCGCAGCAGGTGGCGAAACCGCTGACCTAAACCCCCGGCCCTGATTAGTATTTTTTGATCATCCTGGTCCAAGTGCATATAATTGAAATTCCCCCCAAATGCAACTGTACTGTTCATAACTAAAATATCAAGTCTTCAGGTAGATCTATAAGATTTCATTATCAAATACCTTATATTATAAACCACTCAAAATATTCCATAAAATACTATGCTTGGTTAGTACAACCAGAAGTGTTCTAAAAGGCAGAGCTACAAGTCATTTAGAAATGAAGAGAGATAGCAAGCTGCTGAACCAGGCTTCAGACAATGTGGGTGACAAAACACTTCTGCAAAATCTTGATATTTTAAACAACTAATATCATCAAAGCCTTTTATTAGTAGCATTAATCCCCACAAGTTTATTCCATAAAAGGTTCTTCTGCCCTTACTGTGAATGTGCCAGGAACAGGTTTATTTCCTGACATGATTACCACTTTTAAATTTCATTCATGAGAGAATTCTCATGAGAACCCAAATGGGAGATAAAAACACAAAGACTGGCTTTTTGTAATGACCAAGGAATTCTAGCTCTTACACTATCTGGCCGTGACACTTTGGGTACAGAATGTAACTCGGTCCCAGATAAAATGATCATCACAGACTGTTGAGAAACTAAAGAGATAATGCCTTAAAGCAAGACTCTCTTTGAGGGGAAAAAGTCTAAATCAATTTGAAATACATGTTACAATTAACATACATATAAGCAAAACTTTAGGATTTAGAATAACCTGTGCAGGCTTCCAGCACATATTAAAGAATCTCAGAGCTAAAAGAGAATTTAAAAACAAAAAAAAAACAAAAAACAACTCCTACCAGATACAAAAGAAATAGCTATTATAAATCAACATATGTTTATTACAGAAAAACTAGGAAAAAAATCCAACAGATGTAAAAAGAAACTGTTTTAAAAAAAACCCCTGTAATCTCACTAGTCGAAGATTCCATTTTTCCAAGTCTTTTATTATGTACACACAGATATCCCAATATATGTATATCTTTTTTCTTAAATAGGATCATATTGTGTGTGTATACTGTCTCTTTTTCTCTTGACAAAAGTGTAGGACTGGGGATTTAGCTCAGTGGTGCTGCCACCTGCCTCGCAAGCACAAGGTCCTGAGTTTGATCCCCAGTACCAAAAAAGTGACAAAAGCATATTTCAATGAATTTAAGAAGACTCTAATTGTAAGAATTATTACTTTGTATATGCCTAAGAAAAAAATGTCAATTAAATTAAGACAAAACAGTGATTTCGTGAGACACTGGATCATACAAATGTTAAAATATGAAAAACAAAAAAGAATTACTATCTTTGAATTGATGAAAGAATACAAGCATCAAATTTAAGCATTTAAATTCATACTTTTTTTTATTCATACACATTTTTAATGGCTGTATAATTTCTACTTTATGTTTTGTACCATTATCTATATAAATCTCCACAGATGGCCATTTAAATTTCTGTATAATTTTGCTCCATATGAACATTACAGCAATCTCATGGAATCTCTGAGTACATCGTTATTTGTCAAGATAAGGTTTAATAAGTAGAATTACTTTACAAAAAAGATACACATACTTAAGGGTTTTGATACATCTTTCTAAACCATCTTCTATAAAAGGCTCCAGCAATGCACTATATAAAGGAATCTACAACCCTGTCAACACTGAGGTTTGCCCCCGCCCCCAGTATTTCCCTACCTAGCAGTGTGAAAAATGCTATCTCCATTGTTACTTTGTTTTCTGGATTACTAACAAAGTCAAACATTTTATCTTTAAGAATTTGGGCCTTAAAATCAGACAGACTTGGGTTTATATCCAAATTCCCTCAATTTTAGCTGGGTAGTTTTAAAAAAGCTACTTAATTTCTCAGTCTGTTTCCTCCTGTACAAAATGGGATAATAATGTTGGCAAAGACTATATGACATACATTTAAAGTATTTACCACTATACCTAACACATACTTGACACCCAACAAATAGGATTATTTGCTTACCGTAAAGCTGAGATATGAGGCTCTCTTCTCTTCTTTAAATCATCAGACTTGATCATGACAAAAAGAAAACAAGGATTTCTTTATTACTATACATTAGGTGCAAAGAGCAGAGTAGTCTAGTGAGGACTCTGGCAGTATAGCATTGTGGGTAAGAGCCTGGACTCTGAAGCCAAACTGCCTCGCTTTGGTACATGGCCTTTCCATCTGGCAGATCTGACACGGCCAAGTTACTTGGTCTTTATGTACATTACTCAGTCAGAAAATAGTTATTACACAGAATTTTATGTTTATTGAGGGAGATAATTCACATAAAAATAGATTATTAACATAAAGGTGATAAGTGCAAAGGAAAAAAACTGCAGGGAAAGAGAAGTGAGGTAGTGCTGAGTGCAGGGAGGGGTTTGCAATCATACAGAGGGGGACCAGAGTAGACCTCAGTGAGCAAAGCCTATTCCAGATACGCAGCAGGGCTGCATGGCTAAGTTCACAAACATTAAATGCAAAAATTTTTAATGCTCCAAAATGAAATAAAATGAAATCCTGTACCGATTAGAAGTTACTGCTCAGCTTCTGGTAACCTGTAAACTGCTGTCTGTATATATATATTTGCCTATTTTGGACATTACATACAAGTGAAATCATACAATATATAGGCTTTTGTGTCTAGTTTCTTTGACAGCAAAAGTTTTTCAAAAGTTCATCCATCTTGCAGCAGTAGATTCCTTTCTACAGCTAAGTAGTACTCCACTGCATGGGTAAACCACATTGTGTTTATGCATTTATCAGTTGACAGGACATTTGGGTTCTTTCTACATTTTGGTTATTATAAATAATGCTATTATGAACACTTGTGAACAATTTCCTTTTGAAAAAAATTCTGTGAACAAGTTTTTAAGAGACCATGTGTTTTTCAATTCTCTTGGGTTTGTTTACATTTTAAAATACAATGACTGTTACTATGCAAGCAAGTGAGCACAGGAGATTGGTTAATACATGGATAAGACTAATTCTGATGAGAGACAAAGACAGCCTGAACCAGGTGTTGTCTGTTGGCAGTGGAAGTCGTAAGGTGTTTTTTATCCCCTCCTCCAGATATATTTTGAAGGTAGAGACAAAATTTCTTCAATGGAAGGGAAATGACAGGTGAAAGAGGAATCAAGGATGACTCATTTTTGGCTTGAGCTACTGGAAGGTTGCCAGTAGCTGACATGGGGAAGGGAACAGATTTAGGAGAAGATCAGGAGGACACTTTTGGACTTAGGTGTGAGATTCATACTAGAAATCCAAGAGGAGACACAAAGCCATAAGAATCTGTGGAAATCTGTGTACATTTTAGTCAAAGGACTAAAACCCAGAGTATTCTTGTCATTCAGGTGACACTTGTAAGGGGAAGACCTAGCAAAGAAAACTAAAAAGGAATGGCCTGTGAGGTAGAAAGGAAAACAAGAGACCATGGTATCTTCAAAGTATAGTGAACATTTGTCTCTAGGAAGGATATAGTAGGTCAAAGGCTGCTAGAAATTTATGGACTGAAAACTGTTCATTAATATGGATATACTAATGTGGAGGTTATGAGTGATCTTGACAAGCACAGTTTCAGTGGAATGGTAGTGGTGAGAGCCTGATAAGAGTGGTCCTATCAGAGAATGAGAGGAAAGGAATTTGCAGCAGCAGACAACTCTTACAAGGAATTCTGCTGTTGAGGGAATTAACCAGAGGAACAGGGTGAAAACTGAAGAAAAAAGTTAGGTCAGGGCATTTTATTTCTTCTGATAAAAGGAACAACTTTTTCTTTTGGTTTTTGGTATGTTTAAGGAAATGATGCAGGAAAACAAACAAACAAAAACGAAAACAACTGATGTAGTTTTCCTATTAATAAAACAGGAATATGACTGTACTTCCTTCATGGGATTGCTATAATGATTTAATGAATAAATATAAAGTTTTTAGAATGTCACAGTGTGTACTCAACAATGCTTACCTGGTTAGCGGGGCCAGAAGATGTCAGAGACCCAACTATTCAATTGATACCCGCAAAGAAAAGGTCTGAAGGTGCAGAAGACTGAGAACAGGTTTTATATTTACTGTCTTAGGGTGTGGAGATCCTGTCCAACAGTGTGCAGGCAGTGAGCAGGATAAAAACTATTCAGAGAAGAGCCCACATAGGTTTAAAGTAATAGCTTCTCCCATCCTTCATCCAAGGCCCTTTTTATTACTTACCCTCTCATTGACCTCAATCAATGAAATATTTTCATTTGTCAAGTTGCATCAAGTAAAAAAAAAACTGGTATCTCAATTTAGTAATCAAGAGATGCATATACTTCTAAATCAACAAGAGGGCTAGTGTTATCAAAGTGGATATAATTATAAAGAACAACAACTGTGGTTTTTCATTAACTTGAGCCACCTTACTATGAATTAACGTTTAATTTTCATTTGATTTCTGAATTAAGAGTCTCATCATTCATGCATTTAGCCTGGTTAATTCCATCATATGCACAAGGTCCAAAGACAAGATTAGGGTAGGATAAGCCAGCTGATGAGTAACAAATAAGAGAAAAGCATCATATATCCTCTTATCCTAGATAAAATCAAAGGGAAAATGCAAAGAAAACAAAATAACTCTTCATCTTTATGTTCTGAAAAATAAAATTTTTTTTGGTATCAGGGATGGAACTCGGGACCCTGCGCCTGCAAGGCAGGCAGTGGCACCACTGAGCTGAATGCCCGGCCCTATGTTCTGAAATTTTAAGCCATGATGTCACTGAGGTTTTTCTAAAGGATTTTTTCATCTGTCTCATACACTGAGAGATATTCCTCAAACTGGGAAAACCAGTGAGTTATATTTTTTATAGACTTAGCTATGTCTTCTAAGAGTAGATAAAATAGCCTTGATTTCAACGTCTTTTTAGCCAAATTAAATTGTTCACCAAAAAAGAATAGAGTTGGAGATTTAGCTCAGTGGTTTCGCTGCCTGCTGCGCAAGCGCAAGGACCCGAGTTCGATCCCCCGTACCAAAAAAAAAAAAGAATAGATTAAACTCTGATGGATATACTGCAATGCAGGATACACTGCAACCCATCAAGCCATTTAAAGACATGAACTCAAAATTTTAAATTGTTATGATCTTCCCATGTATGAGTCTCTTCTCATCACTCCTCAAAACCTACTGCAGTCCTTTGTAACACACTCATGTACTGGTTTAAAGTGTTTCTTGACTTAACTCTGTCATCATTAATATCACACCCATTAATTTAGATTTTTAAAGTCAGACAGCAGGAACTGTCAAAATCTCTCCTAATAATTAAAGCACCTAACAGTCTATCTCTGTTAAATGAAGAAGTGCTTTTCACAAGACCAAGGTGAGAACCTTCCATGGCAAACCCAATCTAAAACCTCATCTTTTTTCTTCAAATTTATGAATTTGATTTTTTTGTTACACAATAACAAAGATACATGCTATATATCAATACTGTTCCCATATGATCTTCATGACCATCAGCAATTTCAAAAGATGATCTAGAATGTAGTTAAAATCTGTGCAGTACATATGCAATTATTATATGGCTGTGCACAGAAGTGGGGTTTGTGTACATGTAGGTGGCTGTAGGAGATGGCCTGGACTGCTTTTATATTAGTGACGTGTGTTTGTTGAGAAATAGCTGTGTAATAGAATCCAACTCTTTCCTTCTTCCCTTATTTTACTACACTTAGGCATTTTATAATAAAATGTTCATTTAACAAGTAGAAGTATGAGTCTTATTGTCTGCATATAATTTTTATATTGTTGCATAAGATTACAATGGATCATCTAACTTTCATGGTGAATAATTAACTTATAAAGATGGTTTAAAAATATTAAATTTAAAAATTAAGATATCCTTAGCAATCTTTCTTAGGGCGATACCCACTTGTTTGTAAAACCTCAAGTCTTAAAGGTATTGAATAATTTTATAGACAATAAATGTCTGAGCTAGAAGAACTAATATGACAGAGGAATAAATACCTGCTGGAACTTATATAAATCATTATACTTTTCATGGAAGTCCAAATTCAAAAGTTCCTTGTGTAGCCCTTCCATGAAGTCTTGGCTATGGATGAAGTTTGGGATCACGCAGTGAAGAAAGGGGTCCGTATCCATAACAACGGCTTCTGTTGGAAGGGAAACATTACTTGTGTATTTCTTCCCATTTGTATTTTTGACCATCAAGTAACATAGCAGAGAGAACACAAAAGGGGATGGTACTAAATTTTGGGAACTTAATACCTAATGTCCAAGATTCGGAGGAAGAAATATAAGCTTTCTCCTTTATTTACTCACCGTATTACCTTTTAAATAGAGTGTGCATAAAATACTAGTCCTTAAGATGAGTACAGATGATGCTACTAAATCAAAGTTCTTGCTTTTTAGTTTTTCAGTGTAATGATTATTGAACTGAATATATATTAGATTCTTATTTTCCCCAAAACTAAAATAAGAATAACAAATTAAATGAGAGTAATAATACTTGCTGGCAATTTCTTTTCAATCTACTTTTTGTTTCTCCAAGTTACTAGGAGAAGAAGTTGCTAAATGCTGTTTAAAAAATTGGTTCAGCATAAGATCTTCTAATTCCTTGATTTCTATTCCAATATTGCACCCATTACCTCCAGCAGGCTAGATTACTACTTCTCTAACACAACCAGATGGCTGGCTCAATGGTGCTTTACATGCATTATCTCATTTAGACATCTCAACAGTTCTTGGGTAGGTATTATCATATACTGTACCCATCTTACAGATGAGGAAATTAAGAAGTCTTTGAGTGTCCAGAGCTTGCACTTTAAAACACTAAGCTCTGCATGCAGAGCACCCAGAATTTGGCTCTTCAAAGCACTAAACAACTAAAAAAAAGTGTGTGGGGGGGTGAACTTTGGAAGAAAATGACTAACATATTATGCAGAATTCTTATCCTATTAGGCGACAACTTGAAGCTGAGGTTGGAATCCTTTGACGAATGTTCCTTCCCTCGGTCACCACGTTAAGTCACAAAGTGGAACTATAGGTACGTCAAAACGAGTAAGCTCAAGGGCTTGCTCTCTGGCAGCTCACAATTATTATGGGAGAACTGAGCAACAGCCTTGCAGAAAAATCATGTAAGGCTCTCAAGTATTTTGTCTAAATGTTTATTTTTCCTTACTCAAAGAAGCGTTCATTGACGCCTACATACTTTAGCCTGTTAATCCCATCCAACATCTTACTGAGATAAATAACATTAATTACCCTCTTTTATAAAGGAAGGAACTGAAGCTTTAAAAAGTTAAATCCATTGCCAACGACTCACAATCAATGAAGATTCTAACTCAGGAATCTCCGATAACAGGATTAAACCAGTAATTTTTACGCCCTCAACTTCTCGACACTCTCTGGCCTACAGCTTTTTCAATTCAAATTGAATGTGGAAGAAAAGGGAGTAGCAGGCGAGGCAGAAGGGTCGGAGGTGGCCAAAGTTCTCCAAACACCTCATCCCTACGGCCCCGCAGCCCAGGGCTTGGCTCACGTCCTTGGGCTTTTCAGGGGCTTCCAGATCCCTGCGCAACGTCTTCTCCCTCACAGCACCCGATTACCATGACTGAACGGCGTCCTGTGAATCCAGGCCTCCGCCACCTGCTTTTTCAAGGTTTTCTCCGTGACAGCGTCCGAAAACTCCGCCATCACCTCCTTCTTTCCCCTCTTTCCCACTCGGGCCGGGCCAGGCTCCGCGGGCCGCTTCCCATTCATCTTGCAAGGTATAGAGTCACGCCACACGAATCAAGACTCCACTTGCCTCCTGGAACCACCATTCCCAGAATGCCGCCTTTCCCGTGTTCCCTAGTGCTACCCAACCCAATAGACGGTACCAAAAATATGAGGAGGCGGAACCAGTACCAGATTTACCAATGGAAGCTCCAGATACTGAGGCTATCCTACCAGCGATTGGCCCAAAGGCGTTCGACCTGGAAGGCCTCCGCCTCTGTACTTCCTGCCGCGGGAGGGTCCAGATTCACTTCCGGCGTACGTACACCTCCTCTTACGTTTTCTTGTTAATGGAGGGCGGCAGCTGCTAAGCGGGACCCAGATAACCGTTGTCCGAAAGGGGAAAGTCTCCCCTGTCTCCGGCTTTCTGCTCGCTTCCAGGGCCAGAGCTCGCCAGCATGTCTGTGGTACCGCCGAATCGCTCGCAGACGGGCTGGCCGCGGGGAGTCAACCAGTTCGGCAACAAGTACATCCAGCAGACTAAGCCCCTCACCCTGGAGCGCACCATCAACCTGTAAGTGTGGCGCGGCTTTCACGGGCATCCTCTGCTTGTGAACGGAAAGGCGCTTTTCCTTCCGGCTCGCCTCCCTGCCCGCCGAACGCCCTCCCATCCCAAGAATTTAGAGTCCACTTTGAAGAGCTTTCCCTTTTTGAAGTAAAATGTGATCCCGTTCTCATTCCTGTATTCAGTCATTATGGGTAACACCGAAATTGGTTTTGAATTTATCTTTTCCCCACCTATCCAGAGGTAGCCAACTTAAAAATGTGTTTTTTAAGATTCTTTCCATTCAGTATTTAGGCTTTCACTTCACGTGTATGATACTGCTTTGTATGATTTTATTAGAAATGAATGGTGTAACTCATTTTTGCACTTTTTACCTTTCTGTAATTGTAAACTTTCGAGATCTACCTATAATTCATGTCTATAGTTTTTTCCTTTAAGTCCTGTCTAGTAGTTGCCTGCTTCAAACATACCCCATGTTTTGTTCATCTATTCAGGGCTTCCTGGCCTGCAGTATGCGTTTACATGTCTTGTCTGCTTCAGCGAGGGCTTCCCGGGCTCTTGCTAGATCCCCTGTCTTGGCAGCATGGACACTGGCTTGGTGGTGGTCGTGCGAACTGTGAAGGGAAGCAGAATGTTACCTCATAGAAACATTGTGACCTGTGTTTTATTTTCGACACAGCTTTTTCTTTGAGCAAACGATTGCTTTGCTTTTTGGGGGAGTGGGCGGAGACAGTCTCCCTGTGTAGTTCACTAGTGGTGATCGATCCTCTTGCCTCAGCCTCCTCAGTGCTGGGATTACAGGCATACATCACCATGCCTGGCTGCAAATCATTGCATTTCAAAGTCACTCTCAAAGGTAACTTCACTATAGTAAGTAATTGGTATTTGAGTTGTGTCTTCCTCAAGAAACTGTCACTATCTTTTTGTCATGTCTGAGTTTGTGAGGCAGTGTGGTATAGACGAACTTCCACCCTCAAAACCAAAAGTAATTTGAAATTGAAAAGATATTTATTATTGTGTTTTCTTTTTCTTTTGCCAAACAGGTGATAGCTTGGAACTTTAGGTAATAAAATGCTAGGTTTTATAAAATCTGAAATTAGTTTATACTTAGGTGTATAAAATTAATTTGTGTAACTTTTGTTAACATATAGTAGCACTTTAATTTCATATCACTTTTTGGAATATTCTCATAAAATTCCCATGAAATGGAAAAGGCAATTTTTTTTTTAAGTGTGAAAGCACAACTTCTGGGTTACATTCAGTGATGATCTGAACTAGAATCCACGCTTTTGTACGTGTTTTTCTTTTTTGCTTTGTTTATTGGTTCAGTGTGGAATCATGAAAAATTGGTGAAATAGTTGTGCTTTCAGAAAGATGTTTTAATCTTTGCTACATTAAAGTTGTGGATTGATTTATAGTACTTTTCCCTTTTTTTTCTTTTTTTGGGGGGCGTACTTTTCCTTTTGAATGTAGTATTGACAGATAATCACTGTGAACTTAACCTTGATCAGTACTGTGGGTACTGATCAGTTAAATTGAAAACAAATCTCTCTTCCTCAGTATTATTTCCGTTTAGGGCATACTGCATGAATGCCTACCTGGTAGCAGGAACTGTGCATAATGTTGAGTATACAGTGGTGAGGAAGTAAGATGTAGCCCATGCTTTGTGATATGCACTGTATGATAATAGATAATCTGGGCTTACTAATGTGGGAGCTGGCTTTTGCAATGGAGATATATCGTGTAACCTTAATTCTTTTTAATTCAGGTTGTGAGAACTAAATTTTTAATATATGGAAAGCATTTTTTAAAACTTATCAGACACATAGTGCTAGACAGTGTTAGATTTAGCTTTGGGTATACTAGAGAAGTTCTTTATAATCTTTAAAACATCTTGGAAACAATGTATTTTAATTTTTGTAGAGCTGTTTTTATGCCTTGAATTTGGCTTCTGGAATTTTGTTGTTGTTTTAGCAACCTGATTTCCCTTTTCAACAATAGCTGAGTGGAACAGATGTGTAGTTAACTATAACTTAAAGGGCTTTTGATAAAATAAATACACTGAATAGTCAAGTGTGACTAAAACATTCTTATTGAAAGGCTTATAATCAAGTGGTTATAAGGTGATATATATGATATAAATGTGGGATTTTAAACTATCTTAAAAGAAAAATTTGATCTTTGCTAGGTAAGATGAAAACTGTCTGATAGCATAAGCCATATTTTGAGTTCTTGGTAGAGGAAGAGAGGATATTCAGATTAGATATAGGGGGTAGAAGATTTGCATGAGAAGGGATACTGAATAGAATGAATGCAAAAGGGAAGAAAGGCTTCTTACTAGCTTTAGGTTGGAAAAAAAATATAGAAAAGTTGATCTGGAAAGGAAAGGGTTGTAATTCTAGAAAAATCTGAAGGCACTTAACAGATAGAAAATTAGAAATGTGAATGGATAGTGGTGGCTAAGCATATAGGAAAAAAAGAGATTAGCAGTTAACAATCATAATTACTGGAATTTATGATTATATTAGTAGTCAGAGGAACCAGGTTGATAATTGTTGGTATAGCAGCCATGATCTAAAACCAGAGAATTACTGATTTCTAAATAACCACCTCTCAAGCATTTAAGGCCCTAAAGGTAGTGCTGTCTATGCTTGAAAGGCTGGCCTCAAATTTGTGATCCTTCTGCCTCAGCCTGCCATTGGGCCGTGATTACAGGTGAACGCCACCATACCTCGTGAGGGTAGTCTTGATCGTGTGGAAGCTCTGGTTTTAGAGTCCAGAGAAAATTCTAATCATTGCCTCCTCATTAACTAATTAGGTAACTTGGGACAAATCCTTTGTTTCTGAGGACAATATATACACATCTGACCGTGGTTTCTTTCTCTGTGGTTGGTATCTGTTGTAGTACATTATGGTCTTCAGTTCTCATGCTAGACATTTGTCTTTGGATTACAGGTACCCTCTTACCAATTACACTTTTGGTACAAAAGAGCCCCTGTATGAAAAGGACAGCTCTGTTGCTGCCAGATTTCAGCGCATGAGGGAGGAATTTGATAAAATTGGAATGAGGAGGACTGTAGAAGGGGTTCTGATTGTACATGAGCACCGGCTTCCCCATGTGTTACTCCTACAGCTGGGAACAACTTTCTTCAAATTGTAAGTGTTGTTAGAAATTAACTTTTAATGGAAACAAAGATTTTGTACATAGGGAGGGGAGAGGGCTTAAGGGGGGGAATGGGATAAAATAAAATTTGTTTAAAAAAAGAAATTAACTTTTAATGGGATAATTTAATGAGATTTATGCAGCTTTGGAATACAATTCTAGCCTATAGTCATTTGTTTCAACAAACATTGCTGTTAATAGTCTTTAGAAAGAAAACAGTATCAGTATTTTCTTTAGTTTAGTATTCATTTATTTTCCTAACTAGAAATCTTCATATATCTGTATATGGTTGATATTAATGACTGAACTTGGTAGAAAAAAATATCATGGTAGCATTACTAAGACCAATTGATAGTATTTTTTCCTTAGAATGATGTACAGTTTAGTTTTATCTTGTGAACTTATAAACCTTTTATGATATGGTTGGTCCACAACTGTATGATCAGATTATACCACAACAAAGGTCCTAAAAATTTAGATTGAAATTCTTGAAAAATGTCTTTTTTTTTTTTTTTTGGTACTAGGGATCGAGCTCAGGACCTTGTGCTTTCGAGGCAGGTGGTGGAACCACTGAGCTAAATCCCCGGCCCTTATTCTTTAGACCTAAAGAATGTAGTCTGTTCAGAGAGGAAATTGGGATGGATTGGTGGCCAGTACAAATATATTTATGTGTATGCTGTATTATATATTTTTTCTGTTTAAAACTAGGGTTACATACTGTTAGTCTGGTCAACGTTACATCACCATATTTTTCTTCTGCCATTGGTATTTGAGTTTTGAGTGCCTTGTCATATAGTGAAATGTGTCTTATTTAGTTGCTTGATAGAAATATTAATGTGTTCTTCCTGTTATCCCCAAATTGTATTAAGTTGAAAGCTGAAATTCTTAATCTTTACACAGACCTGGTGGTGAACTTAACCCAGGAGAAGATGAAGTTGAAGGACTAAAACGCTTAATGACAGAGGTATTTTTCTATTTTTCATTGTGACAGTTTTATTGCCCATGTGAATACCACCAGCTTTTGTTATGTCTGAGGAAAAGGATAAGTTTATTTTGTATATTTTGTTTTCAATAAGTACAACTGAAACCCAAGTGTTAGTATGTTTATTTTCTGCAAGTTGAATTTACACTTAATTTGTCTTAACATTTTAAAAATGGAAATGTTGATGTAACAATAATGATAAATAAAAAACCAGCATGTATTGAATACTGTGCTAGACACTGTTCTCAGTTCTTTACATGCAGTAATTCCATTAATCATCACAGTAGTTCTGGGAAGTAGGTTTTTTTTTTTGTTATGTTTTGGTGTTCTGTTGTTTTCTTTTTGGCTTTTTTGAGGCAGGATCTCCCTCACTATGTAGCCCAGGCTGGCCTGGAACTCGAGGTGATCCTCCTGCCTCAGCCTCCCAGTGCTGGGATTACAGGCATGCACCACCATGCCCAGTTTGAGAAGTAGGTATTATTATGAATCCCATTTTACAGATAAGGAAACTGAGCATGGATTTAAATAACTTGATGTTATAACAGCTAGTGTGTAGTAGAACTGGAGATTTGAATCCTCGCAGTATTGTTACAGAGTAGACCTCTGTAAAATTTTGAGTAAGAGATAGATTTCTTAATGTTTGTTTTCATTTTCACACATACTTTATAGACTATGCCCAAATTGCACTAATTTTAAAAAATCATTCTAGTGTCTGCCTCTAAAGAATTAGAGCCAAATGCCAAAATACTGGAGGCTTTTGAGATGGTAGTGTTTTCATTAAGTATTTTTAATTTTTAACATTCAGTCTCTCCCTTAATTGCAAGACTAATAATGCTGTCTATAAAAATCATGGCGGGGCTGGGGATTTAGCTCAGTGGTTTCACTGCCTGCTGTGCAAGCACAAGGACCCGAGTTCGATCCCCAGTACCAAAAAAAATTAAATAAATAAATAAAAATAAAAATAAAAATCATGGCACACAGAAAAACAAAAAACAAAACTAAAATCACTTGCAATTCTGCCACTATTGACCAGTTGGTTTGTTTATATAGTTTTTTTTTTTTAAGTGACTGTAACTCTTTTAACATATGGTGGGATGTTCATAGGTGATAGATTGAACCCTCTGCTTAACTCTGCTTAACTCTGCTTCTGAAAACCCACCAAAGAGGCAGGAAAAAGGTGTCTTTAAAAAGATAAAATTACATCCAGGCATGGTGGCACATGCCTGTATTCCCAGCATTTTGGAGGCTGAGGCAGGAGCATCACCACAAGTTTGAGGCCAGTTTGGCCTTTATAGTGAGATTAAGGCCAGCCTGAACTATATAGTGAGACCCTGTCTCAAAAGAAAGGAAGGAAGGAAAGGAAGGAAGGAAGGAAGGAAGGAAGAAAAAAAATATTCACTGGGCATGGTGGCATATACTTGTAATCCCAGCACTTGGAAGGCTGAGGCAGGAGCATTGCCATGAGTTTGAGGCTGCACAGTGTGTTCAAAGCCAGATTGAACTATATTGTGAGACTCTGTCTTCAAAAAAAAGGATAAAGATTCAATAGGATTGAGGGAGTGCAAAGTAAGACAGTCAAAAGAAAAAAATTGGGGAAACTGAAAAGCAGTTGGGCAAATCATAACCAACTGTCTTAACATTTCTTGTCACTGAGACACAATACCTGAAACTCACAAGTTAAAAGAGGAAAGGTTCATTTCACCTTATAGTTTGTAGAGGTTTCAGTCCACAGTCAGCTGGCTGCAAGGCAGAGTGGCATGCAGAGGGGCATCACAGAGGAGAAACAGTCCATGGCAGGGCAGGCAGGAGACAGCAAAGGAGCAAACAAGCAGTAGCACCAGAAGTTGCTCCCTTTTATCCCTTCCAGACTATCTACCTTGTTGCTTGTTGCTGCCTTCTGCCAGCCTCGCTGTGGACCCAAGAAGAGTATTCATAAGTACAAATGTTTAGGACACTACTTACGTTACTTCTTTTGACAGATACTGGGTCGCCAGGATGGAGTCTTGCAAGACTGGGTCATTGATGACTGCATTGGTAACTGGTGGAGGCCAAATTTTGAGCCTCCGCAGGTCAGTGTACAATCACATTTTCTGAGCATTTGGACAAACAAAATTGATTTAATTCCTTTCTTTTTTGTACCGGGGATCAATCTCAGGACCCTGTGCAAGGTAGGCGGCGGCACCACTGAGCTAAATCCCTGGCCCTTAATTCTTAGCATTTAAAAAGTGATCAAGTAAAGTTTATTTAAAATGCTTTTAAAAATGGAGACTCTCCAAACATAATGACTTGAAATTTCCTTTTCTCCCCTCCTTAATTTAGAGTTACACAGCCAAACATTTTTTTTTCCTGTTAAGGGAAGATTTCAAAAATATGCAAAAGTAGAGAGAATAGTAATAAATGAATCTAGTAACCTGTCATTCAGCTGTATAGTTAGCAACTCGTGGTCAAGTATATTTCATCAGTTCCCTGCCGTATAGTACTCTTGTCTCCCCAGCCCTTACCTTGGATTATTTTGAAGCAAATCCTAGATATCATTTTCATTGTAAATATTTCAGGGCTGGGGTATAGCTTAGCGGTAGGGCATTTGACTAAAAGGTCCAAGGCTGGATTTGATCCCTGGCACTGAAAAAAATCAATTTAAAATATTTTAGATAAGGATATTTTTATTAGTATATGTTTGCTATGCGTAATGATTGCATTCAGTTTGGGGGCTTAACACATATATATATAGAATTTTGATCATCTTTACTCTCTCCCCCATTCCCTTCCCATTTCCATTTAAAATATAACCACATATTACTATTATACTAAAATGAGTAATTTCATAACATTAAATATGTAGTCATTTTTTTTCACATTTTCTGATTATTTCTATTTTTGTTTTTAATTTTTTTTTTTTTTTTTTGGTACCGGGGATCAAACTTGGGACCTTGTGCTTGTGAGGCAGGCAGTGGCTAAATCTGCCTGAGCTAAATCCCCGGCCCCTATTTTTGTTTTTATATTTGCATTAAGGTAGTCTTTTTAAAAATATATCCGCAGGTTAGATACCTGTCTCTTTTTTCTTTGTCTTTTTTCTATGTATTACTATTTTCGAATATCTTGAAATTTTTTTGTTTTTATATTTGTTTGAATTAGGATAGTCTTTTTGTATTTACAGGTTAGTTGCCTCTTTTTTCTTTTTCCTCTTTTTTCTTATTAATGAAAAGCTATTTGAAGTCTTCAGTGTTTTCACCGCTAATTGCATTCTCCTGTTGTCATTGAGCATGTAGCTTGCTGTCTTGTATGTCCTATAAATTGATAATTAGCGTAAGAGATTGGATTCGAGTTTAACAGGATTAGGGTGTGTAGGGGTGCAAACAAGATTTGTCATGGATAGTATATTATTTATTGCCATATAACACATTAGAGATTGAAATCCGTACTCCAGACATCTGAAATCTAGGATCCGTGGTTGACACAACCAGGGATGGTGGCACATGCTGGAATCCCAGCTACTTACTGGACTGAGGCAGGAAAACCACAATGAAGCCAATCTGGACAATTTAGTGAGATTCTGTCTCAAAATAGAATAACAAATGGGAGACTGGGGTAGGGTTATGGCTCATTAGTAGAATATTTGCCTACCATGTGTGAGGCCATGAATTCAATCCCTAGTACCACCAACAAAGTTTTGGACTTAAGAAATTTGGATTTTTTAATTAGATGTGCTTAACTTGAAACATCTGTGCAAATATCCTAAAATCTGAACAACTTGGAAGTCTGAAATGATTTGGTCCCAAGCATTTCCTATAAGGAATAGTCACCTGTACTTAAAAAAATTTAACATTCTAAAACCATAGATATTTATCTTATCTCAGTTTCTCAGGGTCAGGCATCTGGGAGCTACCCTGTAGGTTTGTTCTCCCTGAGGATCTCTCATGAAGTTAGTCATGTGGTCAGCTGGGACTGCATCAAAAAATCTGAACCAGGGCTAGGATCTGATCCCCGGTTCACATATATTTGTTATCAGACCTCTCAGTGCCTTCCAACCTGTTGGACTGAAGGCTTTAGTTTTTGCTGGCTGTTGATCTAAGACTTAGTTTCTTGTCATGTGAACACTTCCACAGGATAACTTCAGCAAGGCAGCTGCCTTCACCCAGAGTATGTAAGTCAACAGACATTGAGACAGTGACAGAAAGAGTACCTAAGTATGAAGCTACAATCTGTTATAGCCTAGTCTAGGCAGTGGCAGACAATCATTCTGCTGTTCAGTATTGGTCATAACCTAGTACATGGTGAGAGAGGACCCCACAAAGGTATGAATGCCTGGAGATGAAGATCACTAGTGGTCGCTGTAGAAGCTGCCTTCCATGGATGGTGATGTGTACTTCCATCAGGAATTCCCTTTTTTTGCACCAGGGATTGAACTCGGGACCTTGCACTTGCCAGGCAGGAGGCGGCTCCACCAAGCTAAATCCCCGGCCCTCCATCAGGAACTTTTAAATATCTGGTTGTTTTCTGTTTTAACATTTGATCTATGAATTTACTAGGGTTGTGATGCTTTTTTAGAGAAACTTCTCTCATCAACTACTTGGTTAACCTGACACGTACAGTAAATTTGTAAAGTCAAGAATAGGTGCTTCTATTCCTTGACTTACCTACCAGTGTTCAGAAGAATGAGTTCATTCCTTAGCATCTTCCAAAGACTGCACTCAACAAAGAGAACAAAACATAGACTTCAGTACAGATCGCTTGGGAGATGATCATAGGAAGCAGAAGAATATAGGGTGAGGGAGGCCAAAAGAAAAATAAAATTAAAAGATAATATTGTTGCTTTTATTATAGCTCTGGCAAACTAGATTGATCCTCCTAAGGACTGTCAGAACTATGTGTAATTATCCTCAGAATTATCCATCAGAAAGTTGGAGGCCGGGACTCCTAACTCCCATTGGCTAAGAATTGCATTAACTCCTTTGTACTTTCAGGTTGAGTCTAAGAATCCTTTCAGAGACATTCCAGGGATTGGAGAAGTTTGGAGGCTGAAAAGCAGGGAACTTTTCAGTCTTCAGAACACAGCTGCTGTGAATCTGAGGGAGAATGATGTGCTGTGATGTGGAACACAGAAAAACGTGTTTCATTAAACTGTCAGTGTGACCTAATGAAATTAAGTATATTTGATGTATTTTAATCCACTATGTAGTTCAGGCAGGCCTTGAACTACTGTGTTGTTCAGGCTGACGTTGAACTCGTGATGATTCTCCTGCTTCAGCCTCCCGAGTGCTGGGATTATAGCCATGAGCCACCATGCCTGGCTAGATTTTCTTACTTTGGTTAGTGAGGAAACATCTTAAAGTTGGGTCCTAAATCCTTTTGACATATCAGTGATGGCGAACTTTTAGAGACTAAGTGCCCAAATTACAACCCAAAACACATCTATTTTATGGCAAAGTTCCAACACTGCAATTAAACCTGAATACTCTACTGAGGTTTTAGTTTAGAAACAACAACTCATTAAAAGAAAAGCACAGTAACAGATTTCAATGATACAAAAAGCCTGCTGCCACTGTGATAGAACAAAAGTCCTAGAGTTTTAGTTAGGAATCTGAAAGGAAAGGTCAGCATCATCTCCCTGGCTTGGCCTTCTCATATAGTACAGTTGATTTACAGTGGGACAGGTTAAAAAAAAATTGTAGCCTCAAGCAGAAGAAAGTTAGTAGGGTTCGGTCCTGGTTTGGAAACTTATAAGTGAAACACAGGTGTTTTTTAGCATGTGCTATTTAAGCCACTTCTCACCGCTTTGTCTCTCTGCTGCTAATGTGTCTGGTTTTCATGATAATGTGAGGAATTGCCAAAACCTGGGACAGTTATCTCAGTTCATTGCACCTTGGGGATGACTGGTATATAATTATCCTAAATTGAATACTGTTTAGGTGCCAGTGGGTAACAGTGGGAAATAACATAGGCTTTTATAAGTAGATAAGAGTCTAATAGATGAAGCTGAATTTTGGCTTCACTACTTGGAAAGAATGCTTGGCCTCTTAGAAGAAGTTCCTGTGTAAAATGGGTATGATGATAATACCGTCTTTGCTAGCCTGTGCTTTTATTCCACTCCCCATTCATACTTCTTTTCAGCACTTTTCATTCTACTATCCTCAAATACAACTCCAAAAGTCAAGTCAATTTCTGAATATACTGTGGGGAGATATATGAGACATTTTTATAACATATACAGTAAAGGGTTATAAAAACCTCATATTTTTTCTTTATGTCAAAGTTAATTCATTCTCAGCTAGCCGTTTCCCTTTCTAATTCTCTTCATCTCTTTAAATTCTCTGTAATATTTTCTTAATTTTACCAAGCAGTTATACTTTGCTCGGCTGGCAGAACTCCACTTAGATCATCTGGTATTTTTGAAGCATGTGCTGGGGGGGGGCGGGGGTTGGGAAAAGGAGCAAAGAGCATCTTGTCAAATACTTTACAAGCTATATTTAAACCTTTAATATAGTAAACATGTCCACATCAAGATTCTAGAGCATTTAACCTAATAATGATATTTAAAAGCAGCAAAATTTTTTTTTGTTGTTTTGGTACCGGGGCTCGAACTCGGGTCCTTGTGTTTGTGCAGCAGGCAGCGAAACCACTGAGCTAAATCCCCAGCCCAAGCAAAACGTTTTTATTAAAACATTAGGGTCGGGGATTTAGCTCAGTGGTTTCACCGTCTGCCTTGTAAGCACAAGGACCTGAGTTTGATCCCCGGTACCAAAAAAAAAACCAAATCACTAATTAAAATAAAATATGTATGAAAGCATTTATTAGTACATCTTTTAGGTACTTGGCTCTGGTAAAGGAAAAACTAGCAAGTAATATACTATCAGCAGTTTGCACTGTACTGGGGAATAAATGTGTAAAGAAATGAATGAAGCCCTGGGATACATGTTAAAATCATATTCAGAATATGAGGAACTTGGTCTCAGAAGGGTTTATAGTTGAGCTTTGTGTCAGAAATGGGAACATTTGGGCTGGGGATTTAGCTCAGTGGTGCCATCGCCTGCCTCACAAGTGCAAGGTCCTGAGTTCGATCTCTGGTACAAAAAAAAAATGGGAGCATCTGATAATTAAAGGCACTGAGGTATAAAAAATGTTGGAGGGCCGGGGATTTAGCTCAGTGGTTTCGCCGCCTGCTGCGCAAGTGCAAGGACCTGAGTTCGATCCCTGGTATCAGAAAAAAAAGAAAACCCCCCACAAAATGTTGGATCTTGAAAACTACAAATTATTCTCATTTGTTATTTTAGTATCCATATATTCCTGCACATATTACAAAGCCTAAGGAACATAAGAAGTTGTTTCTGGTTCAGCTTCAAGAGAAGGGTGAGTTATTTTGTTTATGAATGTAGTCATCTAAAAACTTTTGGGATGTTTTCAAGGATAAAACATCCTTTTGTGTTTTCCCCAAGTTACTTAAATTTTTTTGATTTAGTATTAGACTAAAAACATACCATGTTTATATAGAATTACCTGGTTTCTCTTAGTTGTGCCAGTCATGGTACAGGGGGAGAAGTGAATTTAACTGGAGCCTGAAATAGCAGATTATCATATTTTTAATAATTGTTTAGCTGCTAGTATCTTAATAAATGTTTTCTTGGTTCCTAATAGCGAGGATCTTTTGAGAGAATCAGTTAGTTTCAAATCTGTAGTATTCATCTTTATCTAAGAAGACACAACTAAAATGTATTAATGAGAATTTGTCTTTTTCCTTAAAAGCTTTTCTCAAAGCTAAAACTGTTTATTAATTTTAAATGAAATGGAAACATTGATTATATGAGAAATTATAGAAAATGAATACTGTTTGGTTTATTTTAGCCTTGTTTGCAGTCCCTAAAAATTATAAGCTGGTAGCTGCACCATTGTTTGAATTGTATGACAATGCACCAGGATATGGACCCATAATTTCCAGTCTTCCTCAGCTGTTGAGCAGGTATGGAAAGCTGAACATTTTTTTATTCATCCATATAAACTGTCATATTTTAAAGCCACTTGAGAATAGGTAATTCATGAATTTTGATGTTTAAGGAAACTAAGACACCTGTATTCTTAGGTCATATGTAAGCTGTAAAAAGCAACTAAAAGTGTCCTTAGAGGCTTTAAGTTATGACATAATATTCTGATATTTGTCTGACCTGCTCTACTCCAGATCTGATACTCTATAGTTATGGCTTAAGTCTTTATTCAAAGAAAAAGTATAAAGTGTAATGTGTAAATATGAAGGGAGCCATCTATATAAAAATAGAATTGAATCTCTTGGTGTAATATATTCTTTTTCCCTTTTGGAACTTAACTGTAACTAGTCTTAAATTGGGGCATATGGGATTAGATCCTGACTTTTGTACATGGAGAATAAATTTTTAGGCAGAGTGAGAAATCCATTTTTTAAAAAGTCAACTTTGTGGGCCGGAGATTTAGCTCAGTGGTTTTGCTGCCTGCTGCGCAAGCGGAAGGACCTAAGTTGGATCCCTGGTACCAAAAAAAAAAGTCAACTTTGTAAGGGGCTGGGTATTTAGCTCAGTGGCGTCCGTGCCTGCCTCAAAAGCTCAAGGTTCTGAGTTCGATCTCCGGTAACAACAACAACAAAAAAGTCAACTTTGTATTGGTTGAGATCCTTAGAGCCAACTATAGATGAAAATTGAAGACTGATGTGGTTAAAAATGTAGATTCTGTGGTCAGTGTTTGGATTTGAATCCCAGCTTTAATACTTGCTGGTAATGTGACCTTGGACAAACTATATGATTTGTTTCATCTATAAATGGGGATGGTAGCTGCTACTTATAGGATTGTGAGGACCAACTGAAATGGCACATGTGAAGTGCTTAGAACACTACCACTTCTGGTAAGTACTTAATAAATGTTAGTTTAAAAACAGTTCCAAGCTGGGCATGGTGGTTCAGACCTGTAATCCCACCTTTCTGGGAGGCTGAGGCAGGAGGATCAAACTTCAAGCTTTGGCAACCTAGGGACTTAGTGAGACCCTGTCTCAAAAAATAAGAAAGGCCGGGGATTTAGCTCAGTGGTTTCGCCGCCTGCTGCGCAAGCGCAAGGACCTGAGTTCGATCTCTGGTACCAAAAAAAAAAGAAAAAAAAAAAAGAAGAAGAGCTGAGGACATAGCCTGGTGTGAAGGCCCTGAGTTCAGTTCCCAGTACTGTCAGAAAAGAAAAAATATTCCAGCAGTGAAAAGTTGAGTAGGAAATTGGTCTTTCTACTTTGTCACTAATCAAACTTCATCTTTTGTTCCTGTACTTCTAATCATATTATTTTGTTTGCTTTATTATAGACTTGACTATAGGCTTAATGTAAAAGAAATTGTGCAAGATATGGCTAAAGAAAAAAATTTGTAAGTTTTTGATAGGCAGAAATGGACTTTTGATTAGTTCTTTTATTGGCACCGGTCATAAGCACTGATTCTGTCAGGTACAGGAATTGTGCTGAGTCATCAGAATACAAGGACAAGATGGAAATGGTGGTACACACCTATAACCCCAGCATTCTGGGAAGCTGAGGCAGAGGGATTGAAATTCTAATTCCAGCCTGGGCAGTTAGTAACTTAGTGAGACCTTGTCTCAAAAAAAAAAAAAAAAAAAAAATGGCCGGGGATGTTCAGTGAATCCCCAGGACTGCAAAAAAGAAAAAACGTCAAAACAATAAGAAAAAAAATCCAAGGATATATAAAACGTTTTCCTGCCTTCAAGAAACTTTATAGTACATAATTAATCAAGTTTAGACTCTTAAATTTTTTCATTGTTAAATATTCAGCAAAACTTTTATTAATACATAAAGTATGACTGGTGAGAGAAAACTGTTTTGGAGTAGAAAATGTTAAAAAATGTGGACTGTGCATGGTGATGCATGCCTGTAATCCCAGCACTTGAGAGGCTGAGAGAAGAGTATCACCACAAATTCAAGGCCAGCCTGGGCTACATGGTGTGGTCAAGGCCAACCTGAACTGTGTGGGGAGTCCCTATCCCCCCCCCCCCAACAAAAGAAAACAAAAAGGAAAATGTTAAAAATGTCAAAGAAGGGTAGAAACATCCAGATAAATTTTCTAATCTAAGGTGAAAACTGGGTAATTAAAATATTGTTCTTTTTAAAATTCAGGTTCAATTTTATATACAACTGAATTCCTGCGCAGAGGAGAAGTAAAAGAAGCCGTCTCTGTGAGCACAGCTATAAACAGTGTAGAAGAATAAACATGGTAGAAAAGTTTTTTTGGTGTTTATCCTTTTCCCAAGCCCTAAATTTCCCCCTTTCTATTGTTTGAATAGTAAAGTTCATATGAAGAACTAGATAGTGATGCAAATAATGTAATGTTTACTTTTGGTTCTACTCATGCTTTTTTGTACAACATTAAAGAAAGTGAACTTCTATTTGTATTTTTTTAATTTCTCATTAAACTTTGAAAACTCTTGTGGTTGATCTTTTTTACCTCTTTTATGCTGGTAAATGTTAAGACACAATGTAGTTTAGGCCAGTGGAGTTTTATGGGACCCTTGCTCCCATTCCATTCTAGGCTGCATACAGGTACTTCAAGACTGCACAGACCTTTGTAATGAGGATTTTCAATTATTTTTAGGAACAAGCTTTGATTGAGTCCGAGATGCAACTCCTGAACCAGACTTTGTTCTCTAGTGCAGTGATGGCAAACCTTTTAGAGACCAACTACCCAAACTAACTCAAAATCCACTTATTTATTGCAAAGTGCCAACACTGCAATTAAACCTGAATACTGAGGTTTTAGTTTAGTAAAAACAACTCATACACTTGGCTCATGTGCTGACAGAGGGCTCTGTGTGCCTGCCATGGCATGTGTGCCATCAGTTCACCACCAGTGTGCTAGTGAGTTCTATAGAGAACTCAGTATATTAACTGACTAGTACATTTTATAACCATCCAGGCCGTAGGTTAAAAGCAACAGACCCTTGCCAGGGATTTAGCTCAGTGGCACCTCACCTGCCTCACAAGCATAAGGTCCTGAGTTCGATCCCCAGTACTGGAAAACAAAAAAAAAGAAATTGTCTGTTTTAAATTCTGCCCAATAAATCCCTTTATTCCTCTCAAAAAAAAAAAAAAAGCAACAGACCCTAAACATATGGAAAACATTAAAATTGGCTAGATCAGGGCCAGGGATTTAGCTCAGTGGTTCCACTGCCTGCCTCGAAAGCACAAGGTCCCACGTTCGATGTCGGGTACCAAAAAAAGATTAGCTAGATCAGCTAAGTCATGGGAATTGGTATAAAAGTTTTCCCTTTATGTGATAGTGGTGGTATTATTTCTGCAATTATGAAGTTGTGTCTTAGTTATTCTTAGAGCCATGGTAAAAATACTGTTAGGTTTTGAACTTTTAGTTTACAAACTTTTCTCAGTTAACTTGAGATTATATCCATAGAGATGAAAACTTGGTTTTAGCAAGTGACAAAGCATTTCAGAAATATTTAGGAGTAATCTGTAGCAACTGGATTCTAGGGCAAGGATAGGTGATAGGCAGGGGTCAAATGTCAGCCTAAGATAAAAATACCAAATTAAAAAAGAAACTTTTAAAAACATTGTTCAATTAGGATCAGATTTGGGGGAGAAAAATCACCTTCCATGATTGTTTTGGCATCCAAGGGAAATACTTCAGTAACCACACTTCAGATGTTAGCTCTTGCAGTTCTCTGGGGATGGGGAGAAATGAATTTTTTCTAGGTATGATTTATAAAATGCTGTCAATAAGTAGTGTTTGAATTGAAGAGTCATCTGATTCAAAGCCATTCTTACCATTTGTAACTTAAACTTTGACCTAGAAATTCTTTCCTGATCACTTCTTCATAATATAGGTGCTTAAGTCAGTCATCCATACACTGGGGCCTACTGAGCAAAACTTTGAAGTTGTGTGGGTTAGTAACCCAGATAGGGTTTTGAATATGAAATTCATAATGTACAGACAAACTTTTCTGATCAGTTACAGTTGAATCCCTATACTCTTTGTTTATCCTGATATAGAACAAGAGGATTCAAGTTTTGTGTGTTCTTATAAGCATTAAAAGAGGGCATTGTTTAAGATCTTTTGATAGGTAACTTTTTATTGCACTTCTTTAGGAACAGTTTTAATTTGTGCATTCCAACAGTATAAGCTAAGTTCTTGATGAACAGACATATTTTTGAGACCGTACTATGTTCCTGGTTTGTCTACAAATGAAAGCTCTCTTTTCTATTGTATAACCACAACATGTCATCTTATTTTCCATGAATAATCCAAATAGTGCATGTTCTATATAAAAATACTAAATGACATAGGAAATATTTGAGCAGGAGTAAAAACTAAAAAGTTATACTCAATTGTTTGAAGTCATATTTATGATTGACTTATCCCTTTGGAGAATAATTTTTCCCCTTAAGTGATAAAGATTATGATTTTTTTAAAGTAGGTAATACTTAAAATGGCATTACAATTCTGTAAATGAGCTTATACTGTTAACAGCATATTTGGAAGAGTTTACTTTTTATTTTGCCTTGTAACAACAATATTGTTATTTTGGATATTTAAAAGTTTCATTAAGTTAACATTATATGTGGACAAAGTATAACCAAATTAGCTGGTCTGTTTTCTTCAATGCTTAGAAGTGAGGTAGAGAGCCAGGTGTGGTGGTGCTCACCTGTAATCCCAGCACTCTGGGAGGCTGAGGCAGAAGGATCGCTGTGAGTTCAAGGACAGCCTGGGTTACATCATGAGTCCAAGACCAGCCTAAAAACTTACATAGGGAGACCCTGTCTCAAAAAACAAAAACACAGATGAAGAAAGAAAAAACTCAGCAGGCCAGCAGCAATCAGCTAACAAAGATGTGACTATCATGCTTTTAGGTTCTTAATGACTGTTTTTCAAGTACCTGCTCATTCAGTTGATGTGAAATGCCACCAGTAGCTTTTCCATATTTGAGTTTCACAAAATATTTTTACTAGTTCATAGTATTTAGATCTGTATGTGCTGATCTGTAAGACTGCTTCAGAGAAGTTCCAATTTTCTATGTTGCATTGCCAAAGAAGGCTTAGGGATTTCTGACTGATTTTCCTATACATATTTCACTTTTTTAATATCATTTATTGTTTGAGTTAAACTGGATTTATTTTAAGCAGCTTTTGTTTATGTGATGAGAAACAATACTGTAATTTGACTTGATACATAAATAGCATTTCAATATTAGCTCATATTAAGCCTGTTTTGTGAATAAAACTTTTAAAACCATTAAGCTTGTTTAGGTGTATTGTCTGTTGAGGGAATGATCATTGTATTTAAAAACTTAATTTGGCTGAGGGGTTAGCTCATTGGTGGAGAGAGCACTTGCCTACCTGGATTTGATCCCTAGCACCAGAAAGGGATAGAAACCAGATTACTGTGTTCACATCATAATGTACATGCACCATTTATAGACTGGCTTTGAGAACTTTTCTGGTATTTATAGGTAATGTATAAAAGAAACTCTTTGAAGTTTTGGTTATATTTTTGTAAAGCAAGAATTTGATTAAAATGGTCACTGTTTTTTATTTTACTGTCATTTCAATAAAAATATTTAAAACAATGCTTATTTGGGGTAGTCCTATGGGGAGTTGCCAGCCTTAGCATGTCAGTAGAAATCTTGTATGGTTCTGGTTCTATGTCAGTGGCTGGGTGTCATTGGGTAAGAGACAGGTTGGCTTCTGTCTTTTCTCATTGCTGAGACACAAGACCAGACACTCACATGTCTAAGGAGGAAAGGTTTATTTTAGCTCACAGTTTGTAGAGGTTTCAGTCCATAGTCCACTGGCTCCAAGGCAGGGCAGCACGGCAGAGGGGTGTGGCAGAGGAGAAACCGCTCATAGCATGGCAGCAGGAAACTCAGATCAGAGGAGGGAGGGAGATATACCCTTATAGGCCACACCCTCAGTGACCTACCTCCTCCCACTAGGCTTTACCTCCTAATATCACATTTAGCTATAGGCTCATTGGTGGACCGTGAATGAGTATCATGGCTCCATAAGCCAATCACCTCCCTAAAGCCCCACCTTGGTATGAGCGCATGAGGCTTTGGGAAGACATCTAAATATAAACGATAACAGTATCACAGCAAGAGCCTGCTGGCCAGAGTCAGTGATACTAGACTCCCCCATTGTGCTTCAGCAGCATGTTTTTAGCAGATTCAGTTGAAGGAGTTTGAAGAAACTGAAGACTGCAATTTACAGTTCGGTTGCCAACTGCACGTGGTTCATGTTATTGGGTACTTAAGTTTCTTGTGCTTACTCTTTTAGTTTTTTTCTCAAACTTTTTCAATACCTAATAGAACCATAGCCATTTGAGACTTTTTGAGGGTCCACAGTTGAATGAAACCTGGTAAAAGTTATTGCAAAGTTTTGAAAATTTATTATTTGTATATTTGTGCAGGGCATCAAGGATCTATAAGAAAGTAAGTATGAAAGAAAAGTAAAAAAAAATTTTCCCCCATAAAGACTTGGTTATATTCTCCCCCCTGCTAGATTAGCAGTGGAGTACTGTGGTCTAGCTCATGAAACACCAGAATTCTGAAGTCAATCTTTTTTTTTTTTGGTACCGAGGATCAAACTTGGGTCCTTCCACTTGCAAGGCAGGTGGCGGAACCACTGAGCGAAACACCAGAATTCTATGGAAATATAGTTAAGGCTGCTGGACTAATGAAGTTCAGTTCCTAGGATTTCTTAGGCAATAACAAAACTACTCAGGCTTTCTTGCAGGATGGTGAAAATCAAAGTCATAAATATGGAAGGACTTAGGAGTTTTAAAAAAGGAAAATAGCAATAATCTAGGTGTGAGTCTTATTCCACACAAACTGCTTTATCTGAAATGACACACCTATTTCCTTTAATCAGAGCCCTGTGTGGTTCACACACCTGCAGTCCTAGCTGCTTGGGAGGCTAAAGTTTCAAGGCTAGCCTGAGCAACTTTGTGAGACCCAATCTCAGAATTTAAGAAATAAATAAAAAAGGATAGTGATGTAACTCTAGTGCAGGACTTGCTTAGCATACGTGAGGCCCTGGGTTCACTCACCAGTACTTCAAGTAAATAAGTCAGAGTCGCAATCCCACAAAGATGGCAGGAAATTCAGTCTATATCATTGAATCATTGGGAGTCGGGGACCTCCTCTCAGTCTGAAATGTAGAATGCATAAATGGTACACTGAAATGCACGTGGGTGACTCTAATTTTGATCGTGGACTTCACTAACTTTCTTGTCCAAGCCAGACCAGCTTTTTAAAGTCCCTGCTGCTATATTTATGGCTGTGGGCTCTACTGATAGATACCAGTAGTCCCTATCTCTACAGTCTTGGTTTTCTGGGCACGCTAAGTATTTATCCTTCTGTGTCCTGCCTCTCCTGGGCCTCACAGGAGAATGCAGTTACCAAGAACTCCAAGTACTGGTTAAAGACTTTAGGAGGCTGGTTTGGTTCTTTCTGGTTTTGGTAAGAGCTCTAAGATATAATTCACATACTGAGATGTAACTCACTGTTCAAAATATACAATTCAAAGATTTTTAGTATATTTAGAGTTGTGCAACCATTAGAGAACATTTTCATTACTCTAAAAGGAAACCAGTACCCTTTCACCACAGGTCCTCTTATCCTCCCATCTCTAAGCAACCACTTAAACCAACTTTAAGCAACTACTTTCTGTGTTCTCTATGTATATGTACCTGTGTTGACATTTATCAGTGGGATCACATAATATTTAGACTTACGTCTGGCTTTGTTGACTTAGGCATGTTTCCAGGGTCCCTCCATATTGTAGGATGTATCAGTACTTCTATTTTTATGGCCAAGTAACATTCCATTGTACGTATTGCCCACATTTATCCCCTCATCATTAGACAGACCTTAGGGTTGTCTCCTCCTTTGGGTTATTATGAGTAATCCTGCTACCATTGTTTGTGTATAAGTTTTGTGTGGAACTATATTTTCATACATCTTTACATACTCTTGGGTATGTAACAAAGTGTAATTGCTAGGCCAAGTGGTCACTCATGTTTACCTCTGAGGAACTGACTAGATAATTTTCCAAAGAAGCTGCCCAAAATTTACTTTCTCGCTTGTGTATGAGGAAACA